TAAATACACTGGTCACTTTTCAGTAATGGGGTGATTAGAAGATAATCCATGCAAAGTTTTAAAAATAAAAAATCTCAATATTAGCTTTTACATTATTACAATTATACAGATAACTCATTTTTAAAGAAAAAATGGTATTTTATGCTACAATATTCTATTTTTAAAAATGCTTTATGACTGAGTCCCAGAGAATTCAACTTTTTATATTTTGAAGTACAACTCCTGAGTAACTTCTTGTTGAAATCCATGGTCAGGTCTCTCATTAGGCTGATGTAACTCCTGCACACAATGATTAAATTTAGTGCATATACGCTTGATTTCCCAGTATGCTTTTTTGGAATACTTTCTATAATTTTATGGTATGCAGCAGGACTTTCAATATAGAGAATGCTTTCCTATTATGCTATATAGCTTGTAGAGGTGCACAACCTCTAGTAAGGGCCTGAGAAAATTTACTTGTAGAATAGTCAATGATATATATTATTTTCAACCATCAGCCCATTTTGATAAACTGCCACAGCTAGGAATGTGTGATGTCTTGTTTTACTATAAATCTTCTTTGTCTACATCTATTCTATTATGTCCTTTGGAGACATACTGCCATAATCATAGGACTAATTTCAGTATTTTTTAAAAGTGTGATGAAACTGAAAATGCAAAAAAAATTTAATATAAATATTCATTTGGCTTAACTCTTCTGGAATTTAAATGGAAAACAACATTGTTCTATCATGTGTAGAAAAATGTCTTTTTCCCCCTGTTGAGCATATGATAGAACAAGACAACATACTTGTACAGCTCCAGGTACTTAATTTGTATATACATACCTAAATGTAGGCATATATGCTATCTCATATCAATGATGGATGATTCAGATATAATATAGGCTTCTGAAAGAGAGCATGAATGAAATTATGCTATTCACAATCATGTTAATTTTAAGCTTTTTAGGTATAAAATGTACAGGTGGTAGTCCTACTATGATATTTTACCAACAAGAAACTAGTTTGTAGCACAAGCCTTTTGGAGCAATTGATTAAGCTGCCCTCTTGGGGTGCCCGCATCCCTTATCAGAGTGCCCAGGATTTAGTCCCACTTCTACTGATTTAAGTTCCTTCTAATGCACACTCAGGCAGGCAGTGCATATGTTATCTCCAGTACTTGGGTCCTACAAACCAGGACCCGGATAGAATCCCTGGGTCTTGGTTTCCACCTGGCCCAGTCCTGGGTAATTCAGAAGTTTAGAGAGTGAACCAGTGGAAGGAAGATCTCTTTCACTGTGCCTTTCAAATAAACAGTAGATAATACACAGTCAAGATAAAGCAGTTTTAAAGAAAGTAATTAGCTTTTTGCCTTTTACTTAATAATCAAGATGAGGGCCGGTGCCGTGGCATAGCAGGTAAAGCCACCACCTGCAATGCTGGCATCCCGTATGGGCACCAGTTCTAGTCCTGGTGCTCCTCTTCCGACCCAGCTCTCTGCTATGGCTGGCTGGGAGAGCAGTAGAAGATGACCCAAGTCCTTGGGCCCCTGTACCATGTGGGAGACCCAGAAGCAGCTCCTGGTTCCTGGGCTTCATATCTGCACAGCTCCGGTGATTGCAGCCAATTGGGGAGTGAACCAGCAGATGGAAGACCTCTTTCTCTGTAACTCTAACTTCCAAATAATTTTTTAAAAAATCAAGAACTTATAAAAAATTGGTACTAAGTTTGCTTTAACTCATATTCATAAGAAATATTTGACTAGTGCAACATGTTCATTTCAACAATTAAAATTAGAATTTTTGAAAGCTTTAATTGAATTTTATAATTTTAAATTCCTATACTGTATGTTAATTGTCTAAATATGGTTATTATTTGAACTATTTTGTCTTATTGATTACATTTCTAACAAAGTGTGTAGTTGAAACTATTTGAATTAAAAATCTTAATCATTTCTGCACTTGAGGGATTTGACAATGGCATAAAATCACTGCCACTTTGCTAATACTTTATGTACAATATAACGTATCTATAATTTCTTTCACTATCATCAGGTATATTTAATACATCATAAAATTACTTGAAGAAATGAAAATGTTCCTGTAATATCTCATTTACCCACTTGACCTCCACTGCACTGATTACAGAAACCTAGATCCCGGTCCATTTTTTCTTCTCTTTCATAGGGTTTGAGTCATTGTACACAGGGGATTATACTGTGCTAACATATTCAGGGCTGACATTATCCATTCAGAGTTTCATGGATCCCAGCTCGCATTTCCTAAGAGGTTCTCCATCACCTACACTCAGTTTTCATTCATCATGGATCACACATGTTCTCTCTCCTTTGAGGCTCTTGTCCTCAGCTATGAGACTTCACTGCCTTCCCCCGAATGTCTGACTCCTCAGGAATAAACATCCCAGCACCTAGGAGCTGGCCTCCGATGGTGGCACACAGTGACCCAATTCTGTTGACTTTCCTGCAAGTTGTCTTTACCCTGTGAATGAAGAGACGTGTTCGCTATTCTTTAGCAGGTGCCAATAAATAACAGCTTCCCAATGACCTTACTTTCCTTCTTATTTATTCTGAGTAATTACTACTAAATGGTTAGGGCCCTTTTTGATTTGCAATGCCTTTTCATGGTCCAGCATTGTGGCACAGCAGGTTGCCTGTGACAGGGGCATCCCTGTTAGAGTGCTGGCTGCTAGGCTTCAGATTTGACTCCTGCTAATTTGCCAAGAAAGCAAACAGTAGTTGGGTCCTTGCCATCCACAATGGAGACCCAGATGGAATTCCTTGCTTTTGGAATTGGCCTGGCCCAGCCCTGGCCATTGCAGCTATGTGAGGAGTGAACCAGCAGATCAAAGATCTCTCTCCCTCTTTCCCCAGTAGCCTTTCAAATAAATCTTTTTAGATTTCCATAAAGTTATAAAACTCATTTCTATCAGGTTCTCTGTCATATACAACTTGTGGCAAAATGCACTGCTCAGTGACTGAGAGAACAAGAGGTACAAGAGAATGGAGCAGGGGAAGAAATTCAGTAATACCTCTAAATACTATCCTACCACATAATTTTCTCCCTAATTCTTACAACAACCCCATAAGAAAAACTTTCAACTGTCAATGTAGAGATAATGAAATTAAAGTTTACTGCCGCTGGCTTGCATTCCTGAATCCAAGTCTACTCAAGTCCCCATCTTCACTGCATCTTTCAATTGGGATCCTCTAAGTCACTACTGGAAAAGCAATAGTCTATGCTGTGACCACTTTGACAGTAAAACCTAAAGTTTAAACAGAATATGAATATATTAAATATTTCTAATTAATAAAGCAAACATGAAAAATTCAAACCCCCAGAAAAACTTAATACATGTTAATGTCCTATAACCAAATGTCAAGTCTGGGATAAACTTGATTCACATTTAATATGCATGTTCAACTATGAAATGCATGCTCTTTGGAATAAAGTGTTAGTGACTGAATAAAATAAATGGTTTTCTTTCCATTTACAGGCTCATGAGTTTTGTTTTATTGTATCCATAATCTTTTAGAGCATTTTCTTATCTGACTGCTATTTTGAGTGGCTCAATTATAACCCAACATAAACTCACACTTAATATTAGAATTAATAGAAATGGCAGTGGCCACAAGTGCACTATTTAAGGTAGTTTATGTTTGGGTATGGATCAGGGGTATCAATTATGAAATATATGTTTTAAAATTAATATGGAAATTTGGATACTGAAAGCAAAATGCTAATTTGTTAATCCTTAGGATTTACTAAACATTAGTATGGGGAAATTTTTTTTCATTTCAATTTTCCAATGTTCTATGAAAAAATATTTTTTGGTAAAAAAGACATTTCTTAAAAATAGAGAATCATGATGGATTGTTCTCTCCCTTTTTGATTCTATCAGCTAGTATTAGCAGACACTAGACTTGTTTGTGTGATCCTTTTGACTCTTAGACTTATCAGTGTGATCAATTGTGAACTGAAATTGATCACTACTCTACTCTTTCAGTAGCGCTTATAAGCTTCCAAGTTCAACTTCTCAACTGAGAGTGAATTGAACCCCAGAGATCTCATTTGATTTCTCTCTGCAAAAACCACTGGATCTCTTGCTCCAAAGGAACCAGTTGCTCTGTTACAATGAATCTAGCATGATGGGACTTTGTCCTCAAGTCCAGCATTCAGGAATGACATATGCTGTTGCATCTGAGGACAGAGGACTCCCTCAAACACCAAAGTATGGGCACCCCCTCTTCTCATGCTGGTGCTGAGCCACCTGTCCTAGTTTCCGCATTGGCTCCCTTTGCTCTTTTCTCTAGTTTTGTATTTACAGCCAGCTTCGGAAGTGCCTCCACAACTCTTTGTTGCAGGCATATACATCTAAAATACTTGTATTCTTTACCTCATGATTTACATAGTCAACTCAATCACACTTTTTTCTTGTATATCTCCATTTGATTGTTCTTTCTCAAACTAATGTCACTCATTTTTCTGGACATTTCACTCATGTGAGTGAAATTACTTTCTGGAAGTGTAATGAGTACTTTGAACTTTTTCATGTTTACAAAATTTTGACTGTGCATGCCTGAAAATTTTTAGTATTAATGGTTTTCATTACAGTTCTCAGGCAAATGGGGATCCTTTATTTAGAGACACACACATCCTAAATTGTAATTTATTCATTAAATCTCTATCATTAATATTGATAATATATAAAATATTTAAACAAGTTAACTTATCATGGCCCACTTCTCATAACTGTTAGGAAAAAAAGCTTAAGATATGGTTATGAAATCATTTACAATTCAGAATAAATAATGGATGTGAAGAGGAAAATTTTTATAAAGGGCTAAAACACAGATAAGGCAATCTAAGATGCTCCTAAAATTCATTTTGGTTTTGATTGAAATGGCAAGGATATTTATTCAGGCCTATCTGGTCAGTTAGTTGTTTTCATTCGCCTAGAATTGTCTTTAGGTTTGTCACAATTTCTTTGTTTTTCCCTTAGGCTTGAATCACCCACCAGATCCTTGATCATGGAAGCACCTCGCGGGGTCCAGGTGAGCGCAGCTGCAGGAGACTTCAAGGCCACCTGCAGGAAGGAGCTCCACCTGCAGTCCACAGAAGGGGAGGTGAGAACCCAGGCGGAGACACTGAAGCTTTACTGCTGAGCCTGTTCCCCGATCATGTGCACAGGGTCCAGGCCAAAGATCTGCTCTGGGATAAAGGTTAAATTAGGAAACCAGTCAACTGCTTGAAAATGAAATCTGACAAAACCACTGAAAGGCCATTTTCTACCTCAAGAAAATGACAGGGCATCTAAATCCCTATAGTTTCCAATTGGTAGATGAACACACATATCAAGATAAGAGGAAGAACAGTCTTTGCTTTCCCTGTTCTCCTTTGATCTTCAAGACAATTTTACTATTTATCTTAATCGCCATTTCCCAGTAATTATATACATGTTAATATTTTTCTTCCTTCTCATTTTTCCTGCCAAGAGCCTTTTTTAAGTCTTACTTTCATTCTTTTAAACATGTTTCTCATTACCAGTTTTTAATACCCCTTTCTGTTGGTTCTGTACTCTGACTGTAATGTAAATGGATTAAGTTTATTTTATCTTTGATATGCAGATTCATTTTTTTATTTTTTGACCAGCAGAGTGGACAGTGAGAGAGACAGAGAGAAAGGTCTTCCTTTGCCGTTGGTTCACCCTCCAATGGCCGCCGCACTGCGGCCGGCGCAACGCGCTGGTCCCATGGCAGGAGCCAGGTACTTATCCTGGTCTCCCATGGGGTGCAGGGCCCAAGCACCTGGGCCATCCTCCACTGCACTCCCTGGCCACAGCAGAGAGCGGGCCTGGAAGAGGGGCACCCGGGACAGAATCCGGCGCCCCGACTGGGACTAGAACCTGGTGTGCCGGCGCCGCAAGGTGGAGGATTAGCCTAGTGAGCCACAGCGCCGGCCCTACATTTTCATCAGTTCTAGAAATTCGCATTCTCTCTTCTGATAGTACCTCTCATCCATTTTCTGTATGGCATTTTCCTGAAACTGGAGAACTGCTCTATCTTTTCACTCTCTTGCCTTCCAGAACTCAGCCTCTTTCCCAGTTTCTACTCCTATTTATTTTTCATGCTTTCCTCCACTGTTTTGTTAAGTCCACCTTCCTCTCCATTACCTAATACTTTAATCCAGAATTGATCTTTAATGTTATTGTTTTTAATGTCTCAAGTTCTCATCTGTACTTTAAGCCTACCCCAACATCTTAGCTGTTATTCTGGTTTTAATGTTCCCTTCAGTATTTTCAGTGCCTCTATTCTGTGAAATTGTATCAAATTTCTCAGTCTAAAACTGGATGTCTAGATCTGTTACATTGTTGGTATTACCAATTCAATCTCTCATTTCTTTCTTCATTTATTATTAGCTCACATAGGTCAAGTTGAGAAGGTACAATGCAAAGATAGTTTGAAATGCTCCAAAGAGCATTATGCACCTTTTCAGCTGTAATGATGGGTGTATAAATCAATAGAATCACAAGGAGGATGTTCTTTTATTAACTTTCTGCCATAATTTCAGGTACTGTTTTCAAGATAAATTTATATGTTTTTCTTCCCTTTTATAAACAGACCTACTGGCAGGATACTAGCTTCTTAGTGGGCATTATAACCTGAATTACCTAGAAATATGTTTTTTAGTATTTTAAAAATATATTTTGTCAATCCCATTAGGATATCTTCCCATTTTAATTTCTGACTGCAATATTTTGCTTACTACCATATAAAGGAAATCCTTCAACATCTTTCATTTTTTAAATGATTTCCTTCTATTATGCTGTTTCACTGAATTTTCTCTTAAGGAATGTTTCCATAATACATATTAGCAGTTATTAATCTGTTCTGTTCCTGCTTGTGAACAATGTACTTATGTTCTTTTATTCAAAACATCAGAATCTTTTGATTCAATTACAAGTTAATTGCCAATTATGCTACAAATAGACCATAGCTAGAGCATTTCATCTGTTGTTCATTTTTAAATGCAAGTACAGAAAGGGATAGTACTTTATATCATAATAAAATATCATGTAGTTTTCCTATAAGGTATGAGATATGAAATATTTGTTATGTTGATACCACCACAAAAAGACTAATTATTCACTAAATGTATATACTACTTAATATCAGATCAGACATAATATTGAGATATTCAAAACAGTGAACAAATTGAAGGAGCAAAGCCTATGTAAAATTTAGTTATTCTAGACATAACATTGCAAGAAGTGTCAAATTCAGCTCTGAGGAGAACATGAATTATAATGTGAGGTAGAATATTTTAAGTGGTATACTAACTAGCATATGTCATGTGATAACACATAACAGGTATCACAAACATCTAACATTTTTATTTTGAAAATGCAGTAAGATAATTGCTGCATGTGATCAGTTCTATTGTAAACATAGTTGAGCGGGTATCTCTTAGATACAACGTGTTCATGACTTTTGGTTATATACCGAGAAGTGGGTTGCTGGATCATATCGCAATTCTGTTTTTAAGAGCTACCCAAACTGTTTTCCACAGCAGCTTCACTCATTTACATTCCTGTAGATATTGTCCCATTCAGTGAAATAAGCCAGACACAGAAACACAAAGACAGCATATTCTATTTACATGCAGGAGTTAAAATTTAACAAGAAAACTGAAATACCTCTGTGTATCACTTTTGCAGCAAATACAACGCTTTGTCAAACTTTGTTTTAAATCTTTCTCAGTTAAATTGGTGGTATTATATACCACTCTAGTCTGAATGATTTTGTAACTACTTTACCATTACATGCATAAAGTTGAACACCATTTCATTTGCTATTTTATTCAATATTGCCTATTTTTTCTGCTGAACCATTCTCTTTTTACTTTTCTGTGTTGAATTTATTTCATAGAGCCATTGAGCCTTTCACTAAAATTTGAATTTAAAGGTCATCTCAAAAGTAAAATATTAATTTCAAAAAAAATATTTCCAACAGCGACAGGCCTGATGTCAACAGTTAAGACTTAGATAAATGCATTCTTGGTAGAGAATAGACTGTAACTTAGAAGCTCAGGAGTGCAATTCTGAGAACAGGGCAGAGTTTCAGAACAGATGGATTATCTGGCTAAAGGGCTGAAATGGAATAGACAGGTCGGGTTTAGAGGCTGGAAATTCAGCAGCATCACTGACTGTCTCAGCAGACCAGACATAGTTCCAGTTAAGCCCATCCATATTGCAGAGTCTTGAAGGCACAGGAAGGTTGCATTGGGAGGAATCAATATCTAACAGCCCATTTTACCTCTCAATTTATTTCTCCTATAGAAGCCAATAAAATAATGTATTCATAAGGGCCCCATTTACCAATTAACAAAATCTACCACTTTTACATGAATGAAGCAAAAGCTTGGGAACTAGAACCAATAGATCTAAGCATTATGTAGCCAAATACTATCTAGGACAGTCCCCAACTGGTTGAGCACACCACTATGGCTACACTGCAGCTGCCAATACACCATCTGACCCACGTCCTCCAGGACCGACTCCACTGATGGCGCCTCCTACTTCATGTCTTCTTGAGAGGCAGGCAGGCACACACACACACACACACACAGAGATGGGGTGGGGGGAGAGGAAAGGGAGGGAGAGAGGAAAGGGAGAAGAGAGAGAGAGCAGAGAGACAGACACGGCCAGGGCTCCCATCCACTGGGTCACTGCTCAAAGGCCTGCAACAGCTGCAGAGTAAGAGGTGAAGCTGGGAGGCTGGAGTTCCATCCAGGTGTCCTGTGCAGGTGGCACAGACCCACACACTGGAGTCATCTGGACTCCCAGGCTATGCATGAGCAGGACATGAGAACTGGGAGTACAGCCTGCACTTGAATCCAGGCACTCCGCTATGGGATGTGGGCATCCCAAGCACTGGCTTAACTGCTAGGCCAAACGCCCATCCCGGGGCTTGCATTCTAAGCCTGCCACCAGCAAGTCTTTACCGAATACACAGCTGCTCTCAGCAGTTCCTCACTCGGGCTTCTCCAGTTAAAAGACAGAACATTCATTCCCTGTAAAAATCAAAGATATGGCATGCATCAACAATCCCCAGCAAGCCACCAGCTGCCAATCGGCGACACGTGTATAAAAACCAAAGTGCCATTCACAACATCTTATTCATTTGTTGCATTCCAAGAAACCTTTTCTATGAGCCCTTTAGCTTTCTATAGTACACTTATTATTTCTGTCTCAAAGCTACTTGGCCTAAATTCTAGCTGCTAACTTGACATTAACTCCCCTTCTGATTATTATAGATGCAAACCTGCAGGTACAGAGCTTGTCTTGGTCAATTTTTTTTCACATTTTTGAAGGTTGAGAATGTCTGTCCTCAAGCATTCTAGCTTCTAAATAAAAGTAGGAAGCGGGGTTGACCAATTCAAGCTTATTTCTTTTATCAAACTGAACAGATATCCCACAGACAAAACAACCCCAGAATCATTCCTCCTGTCCTGTGAAGAGCGCACGGTTTGGTAAGTCATGTCGCTCCCCCTCTTCGTGGAGGAACGACACAGGACCCTGCGCTGTTCTTTGGTCTGCTCGGCCCTTCCCGGGTTTGCTGCTGGTTCTTCCCGGGTTGGCTACCGTCCCTTCCACCTCCGTGGAAGGGCGGTTCCCCCTGCCACATTCCCCACTTCCGCGGGGGAGCGGCACACCGCCGGCCGGCTCTCTCGGGGGCTGCACAGGTGTTCCCTCAGATGTTCCCCTTAGATGTTCCTGGTGCATGCCGTCTCTCTCCTCCTTTATAGTCCTCCTCCACCAATCTTAACTCGGCTGCCCACACGCCGAGTACGCTGCTCTCCTCCAATCAGGAGCAGGTCCTACAGTTTATTGGTTGAACTGGAGGCAGCTGTGTAGAAGCTGTTTTCTCCTCTCCCAGCGCCATATTGTGGGAGAGCAGATGCATAGAATAAGTCTTAATTCCAGTAACTTAGTCTAGTCCGGGTTGCTCCCCACAAGTCATCCATGTCCTTCACCAAGGAAACAGATCAAGAACAAACGAGGTTCACACTCATGTTCCAAAAGTGTAGCCATGAATTATTCTATCATTGTCTTATTTCTACATCAGAAAAAAAAGTATCACCTTAAAAAACTTGTTATTTCGCTTTGCTTTCCTGTAACTCAACCAACCAATAACTGCTGGGCAATATATTTTGAAATTTGACACATATAAAGTTTTAATAATGCCTTCCTGACTTTAAATACTATTGGTAAATGTTATTTATTTATTTTATAATGTTGCATTTGTTTAACAATCATGTAATTATATTGAAAGTGCCAGTGCAGGTTCAAACACATGAAGTCCCCCCCCCACCAAAAAAAAATCAATGACTCTTTGAGGATACCGTTTAGAATAAAAAGGTATAATATGAATATAAAATAACATTCCAAGTGATTAGCAAAGCAAGAAGATAAATTGCTATCGGAGAGCCAAATACAAGGAATCCATTCATCTTGGGACATCAGGAAGACAGAACTGGTCTTTGTTGGAAGATACTGGTAGAGTATCCTCTATCCAAAATGCTTGGGACAGGAAGTTTCAGACTTGTCATTTTTTTTTTTTAACTTTTGGATGGTTCATATATATGATGTGATAGTTTAGGTATGGGACAAAAGGTGTGAACAGGAAATGAAGGTAATTTTATTCAACATTCTTATTATACCCGCCTTTTGACTGCAGCTCATCACATGAGGTCAGATTTGGTTGGAATTCCCACTTGTGGCCTGCTGTAATCAGTTAAGAAATTCTGGATTTTGCAGTAGTTTGGATTTTGGGTTTTTTGGAGTAGGGATCGATCTGTTTGTACACTAAAGAAAGCTATGTCCAAAGTGAGAGAGGAGCATTAAGTAACTGAACATGCACAGGCTCTATTATATCATTATATAGCTTCAAGTCAAAGGCCATGAATCTGACTTGTAATTAGAACCATCGATGAATGAACAATTTACTACAAAAATATTAGTTTAATTTTTACTAACAAAGAGAATAGACTTCATAGATTGAAGACATAATTCCAAGAAAACAACCATACTTCTTTCCCCATTCTTCCTTCCTTCTCTCAATCACTACAGTAAGCCACTTTCTATTTACTTTATAATCATAAGATTAATGCAGCACTAACCATAATAATTCAAGTGAAAAATATAAAGGCCACTGTTCCACAGGAATAAACAAGAGCTATAAACACAGAACACATCATAAGGTGTCAGTTTCAGGTTAGTTTTACAGAATAAAATGAACTTTAAAGGACAGATTTATGCTATTTGCATGAGGAGTGACAAAAGTTCTGTGGTGACATTTTAGTGGAGACCAGAACTTACATTAAATCTGAAAAATACTTATCAGAGATAAAAATTCATTTTGTCTTACTAGGTACACACTAGATCCCAAATGTTCAATTTTAAAAGTATATACAAAGGTAAACAGTGGAAATTTCCCTCACCATCCCTGTTCCTCAATTCTTAGTTAATATACATGCCCACTTAAAAATATCTGCAGCGAAGTGTTGCACATTGAGGAAACGAGAAGCAATGCATGTCCTGAAATCATGGTTCTTTTTGTATGTTTGAGAAAATGCAAAAGCTGAAACCTAGGCGATGATATCAGTGAGCAGCTGGATCTTGTAAGAGTCATGGGAGGCCAAAAACCAAACAAAACAAAAATAATGGCTGGCGCTGTGGCTCAGTAGGCTAATCCTCTGCCTGCAGCGCCGGCACACGAGGTTCTAGTCCGGTAGGGGCGCCGGATTCTGTCCCAGTTGCCCCTCTTCCAGTCCAGCTCTCTGCTGTGGCCCGGGAGGGCAGTGGAGGATGGCCCAAGTGCTTGGGCTCTGTACCCGCATGGGAGACCAGGAGGAAGCACCTGGCTCCTGGCTTCGGATTGGCACAGCACTGGCCGTAGAGGCCATTTGGAGAGTTAACCAATGGAAGGAAGACCTTTCTAACTCCGCCTGTTGAAAAAAAAAAAAGAAAAAAAGAAAAAAGAAAATCATGGGAGGCCATCACGGCACACCGAGATGTGGCAGTGGGCTGTTACAGGGTTCTGAACAGTGAAGTGACACAATCGCATCTGTTTTTCCTTAAAGTCCACTGTGATTGTATATAAAATAAGAGAACAAGAGTGACAACTGACAGCCATGGAGAAAGCTATTGCTGAAGTCGTAGTGTAAGGCAAATAGAATGTTGATGAGGACAAAAATGGAGACAGTAGAGTATTCTGATTTTTCTGTCAATGTAGAGATGTTCTTTGAGCAGCCATTAGGTAACAATAGAATCCAGAGATAGAAAAGTTGTTTCTTCGCGCATTCAAATTCATGATCCACTTTTGCTTTTTCTGGATTTTTTTTCCCTTGAAGTCAAAGCCCTGTATGATTGTTATCCCTGAAATTAGTGAGCCCATCATTTAGAGTAGTTTAACCACGCAAACATTAAACACAATTTGTTCCATAGATAACTGCAGACAAGCCTTTTTGAGGTATCTGTTGTTAATTTGCTATGTACTTGGTGTATCCTTTAGATGCAAGTCAACATGGTTTATGAGCACTTAAAAACATCATGAAGAAAGTATATTTTTAAATTATTCATTGCTCAAGTAGTATCTCTGTTGGCATCCTTATTCATTGCTCAAGTAGTATCTCTGTTGGCATCCTTATTTCTCTTTATATCCTTTAGACCTGGTACAATTAAGAAGCTAAATCGAGACTCTCAAAATCATTAATTTTCTGTGGTGTTTGGATAACTGGGTTGGCCCCTTAAGCAGACTGTTCAATATTGCTTTTCAGATTCAGGGCTTTCTGTCAGAATGCACCATCTCTCAAAGGAGAAGATACTGCAGAGCTTTTGGGCTAGACCGTAGGAATGTAATTTGTTTGTTCAGCAAAGCATGGCAGCTAAACCAATAGGATTGTTTTGTTGTAGAGCCCTTATCAGGCCATGTTGTAAAGCTCTGAGGACTGGAGAATGCTGAAATAAATTAAAATGCAATTTCTTTTCCCCCTAGATATTTTTAAATGCAGATACAATCCGGCTGGGAAATCTACCGACCGGCTCCTTTTCATCTTCACCCAGCTCCTCAAACTCTCGACAGCCAGTGTACGAACTCTGCGTGTGCCCCAATGGCAAACTGTACCTTTCGCCAGCAGGAGTAAGTTCCACTTGTCAGTCCAGTAGCAACATCTGCTTGTGGAGCTGAAGTGACTGATTTCTCCTCACACCAGAATAGCCTTTTGTTCTGTCCGTCTGCTTCACAGTTCTGCTCGGTTTCCCTTGTGATCAGTCCAGAGCGTCTTCAAATGGTCCACGAAGCAACTTCTTCCAGTGTTCAGCAGGGATTTGCTGCCACCGTCTCCTGTGGTTTCCGGAACTGCTCAACACAGAGTGTGAGTGACACGGCAGTGGAAAAACCAACTTCCACAGGAAAACTGGATCAGAAGTCTTGCTCAAAAGGGAGAATAACATAGGTGCCTTTGCTACAACAAGTGAAGCACACAGTTCTAGGTTTCTGCAGGATCTGGATATGAACTGCACATATACACATTACACAGATGAAATTCCCAGTATCCAATGGCAAGATGAAATGGTTAACTCTGTAAGACAACTAATTCTACAGTTTGAAAGCACAATTTTCCATTCATCTTTTTGGATGTAAACTTTTATCCCCGAATTTTAAAATTTTGAAGCATTATGTAATGCTTGCTTTACTAAAAATTAAATTCAATACATGGTTTTTAACAAAAACAAAAAACAAGATGGAATCCCTTCTTGCGTTTTTTTTTCTTTGAATTCAATGTGTTGTTACTCTTTGTCTACTAAGTCTAGAATTTTGTACATTAGGTAATTTTGAAAGCACTCAGCAATATGATCTTTACAGAATTAACAAAATGCCATCACATTTGTCATTTGTCAGGTCTGGATGGCCTTATGTATCTACTTGGCTACTGCATGTGACGTATTTGCTTTTGACAAAACATCTAACTTATTGCAATATAAGATAGGACTACAAGGGACACACTGATGTGGAATCCATAGTTCATCTCCTTAAAAGTTCACATGCTATCCTTTACATTTAGCTTTTAATAGTACAGTTCTTGTTTGCTCCATTCACTTCATACTTTCTACCTGACTGCTAAAACTTAAACCCTCTAAATAAAGAGATACTAATGTGATGCATAATGCGGAGAATGGATTCACTTTCCATCGGGATAACATCTTCAAAAATATCTACTTATTTTTTCAGGCTAAGGTTTATTGAGATTAGAATTCAAATTAAAAATCCCCAACTAAATAGCAAATAAAAATATTAATATTTGAAAAATACACTTGCTCCATTAGTGATATTTTAATAAATTTAGCCATATTTCCTTCTAGCTGTTAATATTCACTTATATTCTACTAGGCTATTTGATATGAGAAACCATAGTTTCTTCCATTCTCCTCCTTTGTCATTTAGCTACTAATAAATAACTCCAGAATGCTACAGATTGGTTTGTCACAACACTCCTTAAATCAAATTCTTGAAACTTACAGAACCCAATAATATAAACTGTATTAAATATTTCCTGTTATGGGAAGATGACTTGATTGCTGTAAGGTAAGTCCTTGATTTTCACATTTCAATCCATGGTTTCCTCATGCAAGCAACTATTAGGTGTGTAGAAGCGTCATTTGTAACAATACAGTCTTTGGAGTTCAGGTCTCTACAGCACAGAGCAAAGTAAGAGACTAACTTCTTAAAGTAATTTGGTGAACAAGAGTGGGCAAACTGGATAATTAAAGTAGCAAAGCAAACCATTTGGCTACATGATGTTGTTCGGAAACCTGCCATTTCAAATATCGAAAAACCTCATTTCTCTGAATCTGTTTGGTACTCAGCAGAAGGGTTTGACAGCTAGTTCACTTTTACTGTTTTTAAAGTAGAACCTTTGCTTAGGAGTGACATAAATCTTTAAGTATATTAGAAAAGATGATATACAGTTTCTTAAAAACTCATAACACAACAGTCTACATAAGAGAACTTGAGAAATTTTCACGAGTCTTTGCAAAATCTTCACATAAAGTGTAACCTTTAATTCCTCAAAAATTTTGTGTTAATCACTGTATTATTGACTGAGGAAAACATGACATATTAATTTGAGTTATATGCAATGTCTAATCATCTCTAAGTTAAAATAATTAGAAGGCTTCCTAATCAAATGAGAACAATTCTTTTGACTAGAAATTGGCCCCGTATCTAATCTCATCTGTGTCCTTACCTAATCAATGGAGCTGATTTAGGCAAAATGGGAATATCCCAGGTTCCAACTTACTTGATTTTCCAACAAAAGTACTGAATCAAATATCCTCTTGAGGGTCCCTTCAGCTCCAACATGATTTAATTCCAACAACAAATACACAAGGTAGAAGGGATCGCCAACATTTTAAGTTGTATGTCATTAGTGGAGAAAAGATGAATGTGATGAGAAAACAAAGCATAAATACCAATTCCTGTGAGGAGTGGACAAAGTTTTAATTCAAATACATTCTGAAAAGCATAGACATAGTTAAAAATACCTTATAGTTCTAAGAGACTTAAGCCATGTCCGGTGGTATAAAAATCTGGATTTATTTTTTAAAATAGTGATACAAGCGATTTTCCAATTCAACACTAAATATTTGGTTTATGCTTGCTTGTTTGGATTCCTTATAATCTAAGAATAGAGCCAGACCCGGTAGTTAGGTTTCTCTGGAAGGTTTACAGAACTACTCCTAAAGGTTGTTGATTTCAAGAAAAAGGAATGTTTCTTGACTTGATCAGAGCTACCTTAATTGCACACTGCCCAACAGATTCATTATCCATTTCACCAGCCCCCATTTTTATGTCACAGCTTGGATATAAATGCATTTGTTGAGATTCTGCAAGTGGCATTTTTTCTAAATCACTCGGAAAACTTATGTTTTAATGCACACTGCATGGACCCTCCTCAGCTATCTTGTTACCGTATCTTACTAACTGTGCTTGCTTTAGCCCAGGTAGACAGGGAGGGCAGGAAGATGGTGATTGGCAGTATGCCTAGCATTTGACTGTCAGGAATAGAGAAGTCGGAAATGTGTTTGAGTTGAACTTGGGGGACGGTGGGTGTAGGGAATCAAAAAAAGAATGGATGACATTATTCTTTTCTGTTTCAAGATTTTTTAATAAAACACTTCCAAACAAAATTATTTCCAAATCTTTTCATTCTCTTGCTTAGCAACTCCGAAACTTCTACCCTGTACTTAGTAGCCCTGTTGTTTTCTCTAGTTACACACCTTGTAAGCTGACAAACAATTATTTCAGGATTTAAGGCAGTTATACTGTTAGATTTTTCTGCTAACTTTGGAGGCTTAAATTACAGTAACTTGAAAATATAGCCAGCAGTTCCAATCCTGGTTCTGCTTCTAGCTGACCATTTAAGAAATATTTAATTATCTTGGTCAAAGTTTGAGTTTCCTTTCTGACTTTCCTAAATTTTTTTGATTCATTTAATTCATTTTTTTGTCTCCACTACAGCCATCTAAATATTGAAATGCAAATCTTTCTAACATCTCATGCCCTCTTCCTTTTATCTAGATTTCACTTTTACTCCGACCATTTGAATATCAACTTTCCTATGGGAAAGCCTGTTTGATTGATGGGCTTCTATTGTATAGAAGGGAAAAGAGTGTACTCTTCAAATGGCAATTTATGGAATTAATCTATTTACCAAATATAAACATTTTGATCATTCTATTATCTCCATCATACTAAGCAACATAGATCTTTTGAAGAAAAGTTAGAATCACAGAGGAAAATTTTTCAATTTTTATACCATTTAAGCCATTCAAGTTTCTTACATATTTTACCATCTGATGATTTGGACAATAGTTCATTCTACAAAAATGTCATGTGATATAAAACTTCCAATGAATTGTGTCCTGGCAAACATGCCGTCTCTGTTAGAGATGGGAATAGCCAGTAGAGTGTCTAATGCATGCAAGTCTTTTATAGCAGGTAATGTCAATGGCTTAATCTCAAATTATTAAAAGATCTGATATTTAATGGCCAAATTATCTACACAAGCATCACATTTAAAGTCGTATTTGAGTTTTATAGGAGCGAGATCTAATCACCTCATTCTTGTAATAGCTTTAATTTGAATTGCTCATACGACCATATTTGAAGATACACTGGAAAAATTTGCTCTATATACTAGGATATATTGTAGTAACAAATATTGAAAAATATCATCACTAAAGAACATTACAGTTTAATTCCTTTTAAATAATCAGAAGCCAGGGAATGACCTCTTTAAACACATTATTTTACATTCAAGTTCATTACTTATTTAAATGTCAAAGACCAAAGACTGGGATTTCTATTGCATTTAACTCTACCACTACTCATTTATTCAAATGATTAAGAGGACTTATGAGATAGGGAACATCCTCCTTGCAGAATTCCAAGCTGTAGGCATTAATGAATGCTTTTATTTTAGAAGGGAAACTTCGTGAGACCCACTCACTTTTTATACATGTATAATACACTCCTTGGTATTCATAAAACCAGTCTAATGGCCATAACCTAAAATGGGCCAAGGAGAGATTTACTCAGCTGAATTTAAATTGTCATGGTTTGCTAAAAATTCTTTGGAGAATAAATTTGAAGTAGATTTAGAACCAGAGGGCTATTTTCTAAATGTTAATTGATGTGTCTCCATTCTTTGGAAAAAGTCAATGGAAAACATTAAAGGAAATGAGGTATAATGAACTGAGTTTTTTCCCAGTCTTAATATCTCATTTGTATGAATATTTATAAATTAAAGCCAAACAGGGTTAAAGATGTACAAGGACATTCGCTAACAATGGAGCAATGTTATTTGGAGTCTGAGTGTCATTATTTATACAATTCTTTGAATCAGGTCCACTATTCATTTATTTTGTTTTGTAACTTTCATGTAAATGTTTTCTTGTATATATAGATATATGAAAAATGGAACTATTTTCTTACATATACTATGCAATATGTTTGTAAAATTGCAATATTACCAAAATTACAAAAGCTGTGCTTTTGTATTCTATCTTGCTTTATGTAAAAAAAAAATCTTTTTCTATTTAAATGGACTGTTCGTCCTATAAACTGTAGATAACATATCTATTCAAAAGAAGTCTATTGTATCTTTTGTTTAGTTTGGGATATTTGGGGTACATTTGTTTTGTGGAAAAATCTAGCCAAGTTTTGGCAGTTGGGAACCTTTTTTTCTTTCATTAATGAGACTTTTTGATGCATGCAATGAGCTCATATAATTTAAGATCTCTCCTGTAATTCTTGTATTTTGTCCTAATTTTGGTGCTACTGTGTAACCATCATTAAATGTGATAGTCAAACAAAGAGGGTCAAAATTCATATGCTATTTCATTTATTTTGAGAAAAATGCGAGGTATGTGTTAGTATGTAGAATTTTTTAGACATCGTTTATATTAAGGTGTGTACTTTTAAAAATTCCATACTTGATAAACAAGCTTCTCTTATGAAATGCTGAACATATTGTTCCCTTTAAATATATAACCAAGGAAACTAAAGAATTCAGATTTGAAGAGTCATGATCACTGCATTTTATCAGATGAGCTGAGAATTTATCCATTCTGGAATCTGATTTTTTGGGTTAAACCTAGGTAAGTTATCATGTGTTCAAATATATAATCCTACATGTATGTACATCAAATTGCATACACAAATTCACGTATGCATGCAATAGTGAATACAAACAATATTTTAGATGCATTTCAATGTTGTTATATTCAATGTACCAAGAAATGGCATTGCTTGAGACATTTACAGGGACTTGAGTACATTTTAATATACCCAGTCCAATGTTATACAGGGCTTGAGAGTATACTGGTCCTCACAGGTTCAAAAATATTTATCAGTATTCACTAGAAGCTTTTTAAAAATTTTTTCACGTTTTGCTTTGCTGTCCAAAAATCTCTATATGCTCTTCCAGATATCATTGTAAACAAAAACAGACAAACCCATTTTTATTCCTTGCAAAGGCTTTCAAATATTAATTCTGGGTAGAATTCCAATGAGTGTCTTAGTTTGGAAAGTAACATTCTGACTTTTTTTAAACTTCCAACAATGTTTTAGTTGCTATAAAAGCATGCAACCAAACACTTGTGTATTTATATCTCGCAGGTCTTCAAGCCATTTGCTACTGTAATATGACCCAAGTTCTCACATTGAGAGGTGCACAAGGGGAGGTGGGGACAGTATTTGTCTGTCCTGAACCCATCAGTGACCAGTGTCCTTTTTCTCGTACTAGTGAAGTCTCCAACATCAACTGGGTGTCTAACACTTTGAGTCAATCAAGAGATTAACCAGAGTTAATATAGACTCCATAGGTTAAGGGCTCAGTTCTAAAAGCTCTCCCCTGACTTACAACCTCAGTGAAGTGCAAGGATCTCATGGTTACCCACAATTTCTGTCGAAATGGGTAGGAAGCCGAGATGGTTTCTTTCTTGGTGGAATCATTAGCTACAGTGAATTGTAAAATCCAAGGAGATAGTTCACCTAGTATTTTTGATTCGTTGCAGAAGATACAAATGAAGAAACAGATGAAGACCACACTGATGAGGTTTGCGAGGGTCTGGAATGCTGTTGGTATGTAATAGGCTTCCAGCACACTACTAACTCAGAGCACTTTACACCTCATAGGTCTGGATTTTTTAATGGAACCTCATCACAGAGGTCAACAAGTACTAGCTCCATTTCCTCTCTTCCTTCTGCAGAGAATACGAGGTAGAGCTCCAAGTTTCAAGCTTTCAGTCATGGCTTGAGTTTTCTGATGATCAGTTCCCATCCAGGGGGTCAGCAAAAGTCACGTTGTTACACCAAAGACTATTACTCAGGAGGTGGGATTCTTAGGCGATTGGGGACAGGAGTTGGTCAGAGAACAAATAGAATGAGAAGTTTTCGTAGCCCAAGTACATTAGGATTTTAGGAGTTCTGTGTTGGCCTACACTCACCTCTTGGTGAGGTCCTGAAGATTTAGAGGAAATACTTTACTAGTTTTAACCTCTAAATAAGCAGTGTGGTGTCACGAAAGCTGGTGTTATGGTCATGTAGAAGTCTTGCTATGATATTGCTCACGGGTTAAAGTTAAGTGTACTCAGCAATTTAGACAATTCATTCTAACATGAAAAATTAATCAGTTGAAATTATTCAAGATACAAATAGAGGATCTCTTTCAAAGGCCAGGTAAAAATATACTGTTTTTTTTTTTTTTTTTTTGTCAGGTCGAGTTACAGACAGTGAGAGGGAGAGAGAAAGGTCTTCCTTCCATTGGTTCATTCCCCAAATGGCCGCTACAGCCAGTGCTGCACCAATCCGAAGCCAGGAGCCAGGCGCTTCCTCCTGGTCTCCCATGCGGGTACAGAGCCCAAGCACTTGGGCCATCCTCTACTGCCCTCCCGGGCCACAGCAGAGAGCTGGACTGGAAGAGGAGCAGCTAGGACTAGAACCTGGCACCCATATGGGATGACGGTACTGCAGGCAGAGGATTAACCAAGTGAGCCATGGCACCGGCCCCCCATACCCTGAGCTTTTTCTCACAATAAGCCCAGCCTATCCACTTTATTCTCATTGGTGGATATCAATCGTGAAGCTAAAATCAATAGACTCGTTTAAAAAATGTTCAGTAAGTTTCTAAGCCACAATTAAATGTTAATACCCATAATGCATATTTAAAAGCTACAAATACTACAGTATTATGTATTGGACAGTATTCAGTATTTAAGTTGTACAAATAGTTGTATTTAATACAATAAAAATTAAGCTACAAATGTTAATTTAAAGTTAATTGTATATTTAAATTCCCTGAAAATCAGAGATTAAAAGGGAACTTGGCATAGGCTACATCATTCTCATTTGAGAAAAATAAACATACCACTTATTCAAACTTTAAACTTGTCTGTAGGTCCAATCCAAAAAGATGAGGCAATCTTCAAGGAGCTCATAAAAATGGTGTATTATCATAAAAAATTATTCAATTTCTGCACCAAGATAAATTTATTTTTCATTGTCAGCTTTCACAAGCTTAACATGTCCTAGTATTATTTTCCATGTATTTGTTAGTGGATAAAGAAACATGATGCCTTAAATTTAAGATTTTAAGAGAACTATTTAGTTCCTTTTAAGTCTTCAAAATATTTGAGAGGTAAAAATAGAGTGCTTCGACCTGCTAACATTCCTCAAACTTCCTCAACAGTTAGGGCAGGGTCAGGATAAGGTCAGGAACTAGGAACCCAATCCAGGTCTCCTACCTTGTTGGCAGGGTCTCAGTTCCTTAAAGCATCGCCTGCTGCCTCCAAGGTTTCTATTATGAGGAAGCTGGAGTTAGAACCGACCCGGGACTCAAACCCAGTCATTCAGATATGGAAGACACTTGTTCCACCAATTGTCTTAATTGCTAGGCCAAATGCTCATCCCTTCTTACTAACTGCTATAGTTATAGATGCTACAGGATTGTTCAGTGCTGGCAATTATGCACATCTAAGGTTTCTAGTAATGGATCATTAGGATATATGTGTTACCCTGAATATGTAAATGCTAGACATAAATGAAGAAAGTTCAAAGCTTTGTGAACTTGCTAGATGTCTTTGCAAAATAGTTTATTATATAATATACATAAAGTCACAGTAAAGTTATAGTAAAGAAGTTTAACAATTTAGAAAGAATTGTGGTTCAAAGTTTTTGTGAAAATCTATAAAATTTAACATAATGAATCCAGTACTTTCTTGCTCATTCTAAGAGTCTAAATCCATTGAGCAACTCAACTAAGAGCTTTGGGGAACCAAAAGTATCATCTCCCAAGGAAATAAAATGCTACAGACAGACATAATCATAGTTCTAGAAAGATAGTACCGGTTTTATTGGGTCCATCTAATTACTCAATTAGATTTATAGGTCCTCTTGATATATTATCCATAGTTCATGTCAAGTTTGTATCTGAATTAATCTAATTACAATGTTTTCAATGATAGAAGTCAATATTTTAAAGTAGGCTGAGGGCCTGGCATTGTGTAGTTAATAAGTAGCTACTTAACACCACTACCTTTGTTGGTGTAACAGGTTCATGTCCTAGCTACTCTGCTTCTGATCTTGCTCCCTGCCGATGCACTGGGGAAAGCAGCAAATGACAGTTGAATTACTTTCATTTCTGCCACTAATGTGAGACCCTGATGGCATTCCATGCTCCTGGCTTCAGCCTCGCCCAACCCCAGCCATTATGGCCACTTTGGAGAGTGAACTAGTAGCTGGCACATCTATGTACTTCCCTCCTCCTCCCTCTCATTCTGCCTTTAAAATAAATCAGTAAATTTTAAAGAAAAATAGACTGACAAATCCTCAAAATAAGTTTAATTATAACTTCAAAGCAAATGACTAGCAGGAAAAAAATGAGTTCATTAAATAATTAAGACCTCCAAGTACAATAGTGAAAATACACACATTTGCTTTCCAATCTTTCAAAGTCTATTTTATTGTGACCCATTAACCATCTTGAAGTTCTAAAACTCCTTAAGTGAAATCAATTTTTTAAGGAGATATTGGTACTCTAGAATCAATCTACCAGATTATAATTTTTAAAGACCTGTTTATTTGAAAGTCAGAGTGCAGACAGCAGCATGCAGCAGCAGCTAGCAGTGAGGTCTTCCATTTGCTGTTCACTCCCTAACTGGCCACAGTGGCTGGAGCTGCACCAATCCAAAGCCAGGAGCTTCCTCCAGGTCTCCCACACAGGTGCAGAGGTCCAAGGACTTGGCCCATCTTCTACTTCTTTCCCAGGCCATAGCAGAGAGCTGGATCAGAAGTGGAGCAGCCAGGTCTTGAACAGCACCCATATGGGATGCCAGTACTGCCAGCAGCGGCTTTACCTGCTACACCAAAGCGTCAGCCCCCAGCTTATAATTTCTATATTGCTTTAGATGCTATTCAACCTGTATTGACTTAACCTGTGACTGCAACTAACTTCTTTGTGTGCCTTCCAACCAATGAAAGAAGAATGATCAATACAGTATTCCATGTTGATCACGGTCATACAAGTAAGTTCAAACTCTAAGAGTTGTATGGTTTTAATTGTCAGTTTCTGGAGTGATCGTGCAAAATTTGTTCTATTTTAGCAGTGAGAAAATGTCAGTATCATTCAACTTAAAAGAAACAGAGGCTTATTATTCAAGTTGGAAATTTAAGAAAGTGTTAAGTACATTTTAGCTTTATTAATATTACCATTATTTAGATTTATCTATAGGATTTACATTATTCTCATATGGAAACCTAGAATAATGTGCTGAAATGAGAGGAATGAGAAATACAGGTTGCAAATTGCCAAACATTT